TAATCCATAAATTGTTTTGAACTATCTTTTGTTTTCCGGCATTTTCATTTTTAGATTTATCGAACAACGACAACTCGAAAAGTGCCGGTCTGATCAGAAACTGGTCGAGGAACTTTTTATTCAGTTTTCTTTGTATAACACCATCCCATAGTCCGTGTGCGCGAATTTCGAAACACGCTGTATATGTAAAAGCTATTTACATGTAGTGTAGGTGTAGGATTTAATAAATGTGTATTTAAAAAAAAAGTGATTTGTTTTAATTGACATCACCAAAACGCGTTGACGATGCAGAGAGAGCGGAAAATTTATTGTTCCAACCAGGATTCATAGTTAATCCAACTAATCATTTGAGACAATTTATGAGTTTCCAGCATAAATGGTATGCTACTACAACAAAGATAAAAAAGGACAAATTAGGAGGTCCAGCAAATACTCGTTAGTTTATATAACAATACCGCTCTGCTGCTGCGACTAAGCATTACTTGTTACAGGGACAAATTTTTTTGCAAGCTTATTTAGTTCCTCAAACAAAAATGGTATGCTTTCTTAACTAACTTGTATAATTTGTCACAAGTAATTGTTTTAGCTACTGGAACAAATTTACTTCCAACAAGTTATGTTGATTTCCTACAGCAAATATTTTTGTTGAGGCTATAGCTACTAAAAAAATTAGTTGGAGTAACTAATTGTTAGTTGCGACAACATTTCTTTTTTTTCAGTGTAAAGCAATTATTTGTTTGAAATAATCGCAGTCCCTTAAATGTTGCTACGAGTAGTTCCAATAGTTCTGGAACACAACATGTTTGTTGTAGTGGACTGGAAAATAACAATCCTTGTATACGAATTCACGGAAGAAAGCGGGTAAAAGTGCGTTCTATTTTTTGAAAAATGCGCTACACAATTCAGTTGTAATGTATTAAGTACTTAATAAGCCATAACTTTTCTATAGGCACGTTTTTTTTAAATCTACCATACGGTTGAAGACGCCGAACCAAAGTTTTTTCGATTTTCAGTAGAGATAGGTACTTCTAGTCCAGGGTAATTAGCTTATTCAAACTAAATACAAAATATAAAGCTAAAAATTTGTGTGAAGGTACCTAATGGATAAGTAAATAAAATTCTATGGTCTTGCAGCACGTGCATGTTGGTGGACAGCCACCATTCACGGCCATCGTGGAAGCTATAAAAAAAGTAGTTCAGCCAAAAAATTTACTAATATCTCAAAAACCGAAACCTCCAACAGTTTAGTTGCCTAGTCTGGAGGGCCCAGGTTCGTTGGGTTGACTATTATAAAATGAGTAATCTTGTACATCCGCCTTTTCGTCCCCTTCAACTAGTATGGAAGGTCTGTTGCAGCATGTTTCACCATTGCATTTTCCGCATATTTTTCTACCATCCCCAGTCAGTAGCAGGAAAGTCTGTCCCATGCAAAGACTAAACTTGGTGAAAAACTCTATAACTATGCTTGCTGCTCCAGATGTTGGTGGTAGTACCAAGCGATCAAACTTTCCACAAACTGGTTGTTTAGCTATAACCTTTTTTATAAAAGGTAAATCTAGTTCCATTAAAGTCATCTGAAGAAACGCGCCCGTTAATTAACAGTTTGAGGAAGTAATCTCCCTATTGAGCAATATACTCGTATTCTTCAGTTCCGCGACTACACCACCCACCACACGCTGCAAGACCAGAAATTATGAATTGCTATACTAAAAGCTACCTGTTTAACAATTATCAGCTTTATATTTTGTTTTAAGAATACCCTACGTATAATTATTTTTTAATTACCCTGGACTATTCGTTAAGCGCTCAGATCTGTTATTAATGACTTCAGAAAAACGTATAAAGGAAAAAGCTGTGAGTAGTTCAGTACGTGGGTCAGCTAAATAAGAAGAAAAAAGAAGTATTAATATTAGTATTATTACACTTTAGTCAGTAATTCGTATTTGAAAATATTTTTAAATTTTCGCATTTGAATATAAATCATTTGTCTGAGAAAACTGTATTGGTTTTATACGGTTCCTATGCCCATAAATTATAAGGCAGTAGCATGCTATATTTATCGATGTTTACTTTCTGGTAGATCATTAATGGGGAGGGGGCTTTTCACACATAAACATTTAAAGGCCGCCTGGCATACATTCAAAATCTACGCTATATAATGCAAGAAGAATTAAGCCCTTAGAGTGATTCTCTGAAATATTGCATTTTCCGTTTGTAGATACCTTCCCTCAACATTTTCGGGATTTAAGTGTCTCACCTAGACGATCTTTTCGCCCTTTTGAGAGTACCCTCCTTCGACACTCCGTTCTGCAGATATTTGCACTGAAAGTTTACATCACCAATAGATATATCCCGTCCTGGTTTCACTTCCTTTGTAAAGTGTCCTCTTCCGACACTTCGTTTTCAAGATATTCGCTTCGACTTCACCAACAGTTATGTCTCGCCCTGCTACACTTTGTTGGTTAACAATTTACTTTGTTTTGGTTAAAAAATGAAAATTGCAATCAGGAGACTGTCACAAAAAAATATAACATTGAAATAAATTTCTCCGATAACTAGCTCGATCGGTTCGTGTTTTATTTTACCTCCCTTACGTTGGTTTGCATAGGAATCATTACAAAAAAATGGAATCTTTGCACTGTCCAATTCAATAACAACGACAGAAACTTTTTATATATCGAATGAAAATAAACACGAAAAATAATTGGAAACTTTAAGTGTACATCTTCTTAGTCACAGTATTTTTTTATGAAATGACTTAAACCTGGAATTCCTACCTAGCATGGACATAAGTAAATCTTCCTAAGGAGGTATAGCCATATCTTTCTTAAATTTAAATGATTCAGTAGCTTGTACTGCAAAATAAGTTTATTTTACTTTATATGGACACACTTACTCGTGGAAACCTTCTAAGTTCGACTCTCTTAAGAAATAATTAGAATTCGCTTGGATTCCAGAAAAATAAAAAGTCTAATAAGACTGGTTGCAAACTCAGAAATTTCTTCCTATGGGAATACAGAACAAAACATATACAAATAAGTTTACATAGGTTTTCGACGACTTTGCAATCTCTTGTTCTGAATTTTTATCTAGTGGTATTTCAAAATTTGTTCCCTTAAATGCATAATAAAGATGTCGATTGAAAATTTGTAATAACAGTGCAATATGGTAACGAACGTTGTCGTGCTAACTGGCGTTGAGATCTTTGTTTTCATCATCATGGGAATTAGGGAAATGTACGTAACGGCCTGTGTCGGCGGAGGTAGTGTGGGACTCGCACTAAACCCTTTCTCCCTAATACTGCGGTGTTTTTCCTTTCACGTAGGTAGCCACCCAGCATATTCATCGGAAGTATGTTGAATGCATTTTTAACATGGTGACTCTATAATCACCACCTCCCTTGTTCTTCACGTTCCGGTCTTTACTTCCTTCGCGATCTGCACTATACTTCCTTTCCGGAACCCATACTGGCGGCTAGTCAGCTGAACAGGGCCCTTCAGTTTCTTGGCCACAATTCTTTCGGGCCGTATTGACCCAACCGCTAATCGCTCGTATTGGCTCGTCAGATGTCAGAACGAGATCCTCTCGCATTGACTGACAAAATGCGACCTTGCTCGCCTTGACCATCAAAACCAGAATCTTCCTAGCACAACGGTCCAAACGCGAATCCCCCAATTTTGTGCAAAGCTTATCCCGTCTCTCTACACTAAGCTAACTTAAAACGCCTATTTCATGACGGAGAGCAAGGACGGAGATACTTCGTTAATCTGCATTGGCTCTCCAAATCAAACTGGTATACAAAACATGTTGACATAGCAGAAATTTACGTATCTCCTCCTGCAGCGTCAGATATGAAACCCTATAGTACCTCTTTTTATCACGTAAAACGATACCATTCACCGGCAGTGGGGCGCAGGCTGTGCTGAATCTCGACAATCGACAAATTAAAATATTGAACATGACATAATGAATATTTGTTTGGTTGAATATGAATGAAACCTTGACTGCATTTAACCTTTAGAATATATTCTTCCGCCTATTTTAATGGGATAACAACGTAAAAAATTAACGTAAAATAGCCCTCTCGTTACACACCCTGATTCAAAGTCATCTCCGTTGATCTGTTAACCAATTAACAACAAGTGAATTTGAAATGTACTGTTTTTTGAGTTTATATTCTATTCACAGGGAAGCCCGATCAGGCAGCACTTAGACACACCAATGACCCATTGTGCCTAACCCCTGTTTGTATCTACGTCATGTTAAAATCGGGCAGCTTTTTCAAACCCAAATATCCCATACACAATTTTGACTTTTGAAATACCTGATGGTATTTATTTAAACAGTAATTTTTAACAGGTAGGTACTTCAATAGATTTTGACCACACGAGGAAATGATCTGTTCTAGTGTGCTGTTCCTCTAATATTTTCAAAAAAGAACGATCTCCATTGTTACCCTCTGCGATGGAATCTGGTCTTCTTCGAAGTTATTATTTCCAAAAAGTTTATAAATTTGGTATTTGGCAATACTTGGACGGAAATAGAATTACCATTTTAATGATTTTCAATGGCTAACAACTTGTTCACTAATCATTAAAGAACAAGTTGTTCTCCAGTCACCCGTTAAATCTTTGGTTTCTCTTCAAAACCAGCATGTTTTGTTCAGCACAACAATCACCTTTTTGTTTGATTACGTACTGTTTATTTATATAACCACTTTAAATGATATGCGTCTTTGGCGGATATGAAATTAATTTATTACACTTTAACGACATTCACGAACTAAACAAAACTATGTTTATTAATTAAAATGAGAATTAATTCACGTAAAAAATTGAAAGGCCATTATAAGATACATTAAGAACTTTATTGTTAATTCATTAATAAGAGATAATTATAGTAAAATAATTTACGACCCATAAAATTGCCTCTACCGTGTTGTTTTGTATCTTATTACCGTTGGTTTGTCATGGTTCATTATTATTTTCTTTTTGTTACAGGAAAACTTCCACTACTACAAATTGGAAACTAAACCGAATTACCATAATTAAAATTTTTATTGTTACAGTAAGTAAGTATGTAAGTCTAATCCGTCTCTATGTAATATATTCGTCCTATTGCAACAATAATGTTCGCCTGAAGCAGCAATAATAATGGAGCACAAAACATCTTTACTGACAACTATTTAAAAATGTGTGCGATAGTTAGAAATAGTGCATTTAATTTTACGAGTACACGGGGGACTACCATCGAGAAAATCCTCCATTTGTTTGTTAAATAGCGTTTATGTTTGCATTACGTACCGAATTCTTACTTTAGTTCCTGGGAGGTTTTCTGTAAAGTGTTCTCTGTCTACTCCTCTCCTGTCCCACGATCTGGTGGTTGGCAACTGTAACGAATATGTGCATAAATTGTTATGGGTTTTTGCCATTAATTTAGATTTTGAAAAATGCGTGGCCAAAATGTGTTTTATTTTCACATAAACTTAAGTATTTATTTTCCTTATAAGATTGAAGATTGTATATTTTCGTAGTTTAGGTACGTTATTTAATACATGTTGAAATGATGTTCCATTTTAAGGATCATGTGATAATATAAATAATTAGTTGAGTAATCATTTTTACTAATAGGGCCGTGATATTAAATGTAAAAAGTTTACTATAATGACCATATAATATTTGTTTTTGTTTAAAAGCCAATTTATGATGATAGTCTTTATCACTGTATAGTTAATCACACGATTAACGTGTGAATGTCCATCGTTTTGCATGCGTTTCATTTACGATACCTTGTGTATGCCTAGAGTAATTACTGAGCATATGCTGTACCTATAATAAATTTTAAGTATGTAATAAAAAGTAACTGTATTTAAGTATTTTTTCCTCAGTGCAGAAAATAAATTGTGTTTCCGTTTTTTCAGTACACTAAACTCGTGCGCCTAAAATTTTACTACACTTTTTCAATGCAATTAGAAGTTTGCGCGTAAAACGCAGGCATTATGGGAAAAATTACCATTTATGACTGAATTAGACCGGTAGTAATGTATTAACTGGTGCAAAGAAGAAAATGTTTTATTACATAATAAGAAAAACGGTGCCTTTCAATTGCTGACATGAAAATACAAGAACTTAAATAATAAAAGTTAGCCAATAAAATACGTTTATAGTCTATAAATTTTCTATCGTAAAATCCTTTAAATGTGTAGGAAGGTAGTGTATTTGATGGGTTATCTGATATCAAGGTAGGTATCGTTATGTTTACTACATTTTCCTTTATTAACAATATTGGGATGGTTCACACCTCGCCGAATACGACAAGCTGATCTAAAATAGTAAATCTGGATCGATTTTGAGCATTTACAAAAATTTCAGGTTGCAACGCTTTCTAGTAAAAAGTGCTTTCCAACACGGGCAGCCAGTTTGACAGAAGTTGTAATTGTTCATAAGCACATGAAGAGGTCGTGTATTTTTCACCCCAGAGTAGCGCATTACCATTACATTTTCTGACCCCTACTCCTGAAAAATACAAAAGCATTTATTGAGATGGAATTGAAATTCAAATTCCAAACATTACCATTGAAGAATGAGAATTGGATGGATCAAGATATTCTGATCCGTAGATTCGTTTGGGCCACAGCTCTTGGTTCAGATTCATGATCAGTCGCTTTTTAGCGCATTTTTGCAAATTTATTTGTAAAAAGGTAGCTTTTAATCGCATTTTGGCCGGCTGGGTGGCTGGCAGGAAATGCGGGCCCTTAGAAGAATGATTGTAAAAAGAGTAGGAGTTTACATGTACCTACAAGGGTGTAATTCACAACTTGAGTGACGAGGCTACATGATGTTGGGTCGGCGAGATCTGGGCGCCATCCTCGAGCGTGTTATGCGGTAACGTGGTTTTTCAGTTTTTTCTTCTACAGTTTTGGTGTCGTCGGAAAGATCTTGTAAACGAGTACAACTCCTACGTGACGGAATTTTGGTTTTATTCTTCCTAGGGGCGCAATTAACCACCTCTTACAAAGCGCGCCTTCGAGGGGTAATCAACTTCGGGCGCCCAAAAGTTACTTAAAACTCAAATGGCGCTCTCTCTTTCACGTGTCTCTAGCTTTGAGAAGTGCTTGAAAATTGAGTACTGTTTTGTGGAGGGTTTTCAACGAAATGCACCAAAATGGGTCAACGGAACGTCGGACGCGGATACCGACAAAGGGAATGTGGTAGCCTTCGACAAGATCTTATTGATTGTGGAACTAGTTAATATAATACTGATCTGCCACACAAAAAAGTCGCTTCGATCTCACACGAGTTCTTTGATAATTTTGTTTATTTTTGACCGCATTGCTCAAAGAATTAGAAAAGGACTAAAGTCAGAGGCAGTGTTTAAAGGTCGAATGTGGTGAAACTGAAATCAATTGTTTTCTTTCAGTGCTAATGCTAAAGTACCAGGTAATTATAATCTCTGTTAAATGTTTCGCAACTGTTTAAATACAAAATATGGCAATATTTTATAGCTCAACAGCAAAAGCCACTTTCACGACAATCTAGTTACAACTTCTATACATGAATCTTTTTTCATGTTTTTTTGTCGAAGCAATTGTTTACGCAATAGAATTTTTTTAATTAAATCTTGTGTAAAAAGGGAGTAAATCTCAGTTTAAGGTGAACATGTCACGCTCTAAATTGTATACCTACTAGGTGCCAGAGATTATTATTTTAATAGTATAAGGGGCAGTTTTTTCTAAGGAAATCGTCGGACAAAAGTGCTACAAATTCACTGTAAACTCGCTATTGACTAAAACGTCCCACTGAAATCAACGCTTAGGGCTAGCAATCAGGCGCATACGAACGCTTCGGCACTGGGTAATCTTGGTTGCAAGACATTTCAGCTCTGAGATACCACGATACCAGGGCATGTCGCCGCAGCTCAGCTCCATATTAAAGCGCAATGGACAAATTCGTAATGACCAGCGAAAAACATTTTAATAAATATACCTCTATATCGCCTTAATATTCATGATAATAATTCATTATCGTAGTATACATTTTTGCTGGAACACCTTGTATGAAAATACTGATTTACTGAATATTTTGTAAGTATAAATTTTGGTTATTCAACATTAACGCTTTAGAGGTACATTTATGGAAATTCAAATTTAGTAGCTCAACACGAGTTTTTATATTGCATCTTAGTCTCGCGCCCGAGCTCTGTCGAATCCAAAAATTATAAGGGGTGGCATGATGGATTGCAGCCTGACTGTGACTGGTCGTGTAGAAGTTTCTGTAAAACTGAACTTTTTTAGTAGAGTAGGTATCTCATTGAGAGGAGTTCGCAACGAATGCTCTTCCATTTTATTCACAGAATGCGACGGAAAAGATATTCAGGTAAGGGATAGCATTAAGATCATACCTGATAGCTGGACAAAAATTTCGGCCTAGTCCTCTTACTAAAACCCTGCACTAATAGATCATCTCTAGTTGAAGCTCAGGTTCCCTCATTCAAAGAATTTTGAACGGGGTTTCTCTTACATTTAGGCGCTACCTTACCTGAAACACATTAAATGAGGATTATCAAATGATTTCGGGGAGGCTCATTATGCTCCACTGGAACAACGCCAACAGCAATTCAGCTCCCACCTACATATTGCAATTCCGACAACGCCGCCGATATTGAAAGACATCGAACGGTTGGTTTATGGCTGGACTATGAACTTTTGTAGAACACTAGTTGCTAACCTACCTATGAAAAAAGCAATGTATACAGTATATATTAAAAAAAACAGCAAACTCTTATGCAGCGTTGAATTACATGGTTAAGTATATAAATTAATAAATTTCTATCGCAATTTCATTGATGAAATCAGAAAATCAACTGAGCATCCTGTATATTTTATCCAAAGAAGATAAATTTCTTGTTAACTCATAACTACCCTAAGTTATAAATGAACGTACCTTATTAAAACTAAATAAACACAATTAAAATACTTTCGATCAAATTTTACCCTTATAAGTTTGACAACGTTTACTGGGGAAAAATGCGAAGGTGCTCAAAATGCAAGCAAACTACTTGTGGCTGTTGAGCTTGCAAAAGTAAAACAAAAACACCAATAAACTACAATAATATATTAAAATATCGAACGCATTTCGTCTGTCCTCATCAGCGAACAAGCGGGCTATATGAATACGTCCCTATTTATACTACTTACAAGTGAAAGTGAAACTTTACGAGCTCTGATTCGCCTAAAGGAAGGTCTTGCTGTTGAAAGACGTCCGATATTTTAATATGTTGTGTTTTCGTTTTATTTTTGCACATGCATATGTTCGCAATTACAGATTAAATTAAGTTAATGATCAATACGATCGATAAACGGTAAGCTATAAAAATATTATTCAAGAAACAACGCTTTTTTATAAACACCAATGAATTGCAACGGGAAGTAAAAGAAGCGTTAAAAGGTGACGAGAAATTCAAAAACAAATGTACAACGTGACAGGAAAGGGAGGGTAAAATAAACTGCCTCTTACTTGTGTTTTTTTAAATAATTGAATGTGATAATCAAAATTAATTAAAAGTGATGGGGGGAATTTTCGAATTTTTCCCCGTAAGCGTTTTCAAAATTATGAGATCACCCATTAATTATTGTCATTTTTCGCATACTAATATGTGATCCACGCTGAAATGTAATGTAAATCCGTCTCAAATTGTATTTTAGGTACTTACCTAATATTTATTTTAAAAAAGAAAGAATGTCCCGTGATAATTTACCTCAATCATAAATTAGGTTCCGAGAAATGCATTCATGCAGAGCTATAACTGATGGTAAGCTCTGATTCATGCATGGGTTCATCTCGTATTTGAGACTCCACAAAATTTATTCTGTACCCTTCTACTAGTTTAGATATTCCTATGTGAATTATCTAGTCATCCAGTCTGACATACTAAAAATGTCACGCAGAAGAGGACTAATTCGAGTGCGCGCCGTCGTAACGAGTGGTCGATCGCGATTATAAGTGTCAATTAAGAATAGAACTAATTTGTTAATATAAACCAAATCGTGAGGGTGAGTACCACCCATACTTGCCGCCGCAATGCCAACTGCAATCTGTGGTGTTTGTCGGGTGGATCTTAATCGTACAGATAAAGTTATTCTTTGTGCTAGTTGGTGCCAAACTTACTTTCACACGAAGTGCGTTAAAGTCAGTGACGATGAAGTTAAATTTATTAACTCAAAAAAGAACTTTAATTGGTTCTGTGACCCCTGCGCTATCCACGAATCACACAGCCTCAGGAATATCTTGACTAACATTAACAAAGTGACGATGAACTGGGATAGAGTTATGGAAAGTCAGCACGAAAAACTGATGAACCACGAGAAGCTATTAAAGGATACTTTAGACCAAGTAAATACCCAAAATGTCAGCATCAGCAAGGATCTAGCGCAAGTTCTCCAAACTCAATCTGAAGTGAAGCTTACGTATGCGGACAAGTTGAAACAGAAAACCTACGACCCAGTTATCATCGTTAAGCCCAAGGACGCGAACCAACCGTCCAAGCAAACCTTCACCACCCTCAAAGAAAATATCGATCCAATTACCCGAGAAGTTACCGGAATGAAAACTCTACGTAGAGGAACCATTGTTGTTGAATGTAAAAATAAAGAAGCTGCAGCCAAACTTAAGGAGGAAGCCGAAAGGAAACTGGGATCCGACTACATTCTTTCCTTACCAAAACAGAAGATGCCGAAGATTAAAATCGTAGGCCTCAATGACAAGATCGGGAGTACCGAAATGAAGGAAATGATTCTCGCGCAGAATCAATTCCTCGACGAAGCCGCGTACATAAACGTCGTACACATAACGGAAGATAAAAGAAATCCTAACAGGTATTTGGCTTACGCTGAGGTTGACGGTAATAGTTACCGGAAAATTCTAAGTGAACAAAAGCTTAACATAGGATGGGACCGTTGCAGAATTTATGATGCTGTGACAACTAGAAGATGCTACAAATGCAATGGGTTCGGACATAAGGCAACTGACTGTAGCAAAACTACTACCTGCCCCAAATGTGCGGGAGACCATGACCTAGCGAGCTGTAAAGCTTCGGACGCGGAAATTAAATGCAGTAACTGTGCCAACGCCGTTGAGAAACTAAAAATGAAACTGGATGTACAGCACCCGGCCTGGAGTGTTGATTGCCCAGTCTACAAAAAACGACTCGATCAAGAAAGAAGCAGAATTGATTTTTTAGGCCATCCCCAACACTAATCAAGCAAGGAAATAGGTACGGATCAACGCTCTCAATCTATTACCAGAACGTAAGTGGAATGCGAACGAAAGCGCAATCTTTCAAAAATAAATTGGCAATTACAAATTACGACATTATTCTACTGACTGAGACCTGGTTAACGGAAAATTTTCATGACGCTGAGTATTTAAACAATCAATATGCGGTCTTTCGCAATGACCGTAATTACGAAGAAATGAAGTGCACCATGGGAGGCGGAGTTTTAATCGCAGTCAAGACCGATTTGAATGCTGAAAAATTGGAATTTCAAAGTGATCTAAATGAAATATGGGTCAAACTTAAAATTAATAATACTTCATACATTATTGGTGTTGTCTACTTTCAACCGAAATCTGGTATTGATAAGTACGTGAGTTTTACCAAAAGTTTAGAAACAATTGAAAACATGTTGCATTCATCGGAAGTGTTAATAGCAGGCGATTTTAACCTACCACAAATTGTTGACGCCACGTATAATTTCGAAAACGCGAGTGCTAAATGCAAAGTAATTAAAAATATAGCTTCGATGTACAACTTAAAACTCATTAATACGGTTAAACTTAAAAACTGCAATAATAGAACCCTTGACCTAATTTTAACTAACTTAAACGCGGAAATTAAATCTGCTGTCGACTCACTGGATAAAATTAATCCACTTCATCCTGCACTAGAAATGGTCTACAAAGTCCATAGACCAGCTAAGCGAATTACCAAATTAACCAACTTCAATTTCAAAAAAGCAGATTTTCTTAAAATGTACGTCCTTTTTCGCGATGTCAATTGGAAGGAGTCTCTTATCCTGAAGAATTTCAAATCGGTAGATGATGCAGTAACTAGCTTTAATCAAACGGTAATGAACATTTTCGATGAATGTGTCCCCAAAGTACAATTAGGAGTGCCAATAAGTATCCTAGCTGGTTTAATATAGACATTATTAAGAAAATCAAACAGAAAAATAAGTTTCGGTTACAGGGCCCATCGGAAGACTTCATTGAAGCCAGAAAAGAACTCAAAAGAATGATCCACATTGCTCATAAGAGGTACATTAATCAAATTGAAATGGATCTGCGGAAGAATTCCAATAAATTCTGGAACTACATCAAGTCGTTGAGGAAGAATAGTCAACTACCTGGAGTTTTTGAGTACAAAGACACCTCGTTAACGGACGCCAGAAGCATTGCGGACGCCTTTGCATCCTTCTTCGAGTCAGTCTACACTATGGAGAGGAACGATGACCCGGAAGATGACGTGGAATCGGACCTGGTGCTATCCAAATTGCACTTGACTCAGTTACATGAATCCGAGATACTGGAAGCAATTAAAAAATTGAAACCGAGGTCGGCTATAGGCGAAGATGGAATCCCACCCTACATCGTGAAAGGATGTGCATCTTTATTGGTAACCCCCTTACAACATCTATTTAATTTAGCTTTGCAAACATGTACATTCCCTGAAGCTTGGAAATGCACCAGAATAACACCAATTCACAAAAGTGGAAGCCGAAAATTAGTTGAGAATTATCGCTCAATTGCAATTATACCAGCAATAGCGAAAATTTTCGAAAGAGTGATCTATACTAGACTTTATTCCCATCTCAGCAGTATAATTGCAGATCAACAGCACGGTTTCACGCGGAACAGATCAACTATTACAAATTTAATGCAGTTTACGCATTTCTCAGCAGGAGCCTTGGATGAGAGAGCCCAGGTGGACTGTGTTTATACAGATTTTGCGAAGGCATTTGATACAGTATCCCATCAAGTCTTGCTCCGTAAACTTGTTTTAAATTGCGTAAGTAATCCGACCGTCAAATTCTTAAAATCATATTTATCTTTCCGTAAAACAAGAGTGAAATTCAATGGTGTGAATTCAGCCGAATTTTATCCCTCATCAGGCGTTCCCCAGGGAACACTTCTTGGTCCTTTTCTGTTTCTCTTATACATAAATGATTTACCGCGAGTGATAAAAAACTCGAAAGCACTACTATTTGCGGACGACCTAAAACTTTTTAATAAAGTCCAATCCCCAAGTGACTGTTTAAATATTCAAGAGGACATTAACTCAGTAATTAAGTGGTGTATCAAAAATAAACTAAAACTAAATATCAATAAGTGTAAAGTCCTTACTTTTACTAGATCGAAAAATCCCTTACTTTTTGACTATAAGATGAATGGAAAGGTATTACTACGAGTCACCTCCGTTAAGGACCTGGGCGTGTTTTTCAATACCAACCTTAACTTTAACTTACACATTGAATACCTAACAAATGAGTGTTACAAACTTCTTGGTTTCGTTATCAGGCATACACTCAATTTCATGAATATACAGACAATGCTAACCTTATATAATGCGTTTATTAGATCCAAGCTGGAGTATGCTGCATGTATCTGGTCTCCTCAAACTCTCAAATACTCAGACATGATCGAAAAAGTGCAGAAAAAGTTCATCCGAGTAATGTTTTTAGGTCAACCCAAAATTATCCACATTTGATCTCTTACGGTACCCAGCTTAATTACTTAAATAGTACTTTCGGCTTAGATATAACGAGGTTAGAAACCCGACGGTACATTGCCTCCACAATGTTTGTCTTCAAAATTTTACACAACTTGTTATACTCTTCCGAATTACTTCAAGAAATTAAGCTTAAGGTACCATTTGTTAAGCTAAGGCAAAATAATACTATTTTTGTAGTTAACAACACAACTTCCCCACTTATTAAGATCTTGATCGCTTTAAATAAGTTATCCTCAGTTAATGATATCGACTTTTTTCACGATCCCCGAAATTCAATAATAAATAAAATTAGATCCTAGTCCTAATATTTGTTCAGAGCCCCAGTGCCATGTAATTGGAATTTTTATTCTGTATGGTTTCTGGTTAAATAAATAAATAAATA